GGAAACTTAGCAAATGTTTTGGATGATTTTATGGTGTGAGCAATTGCAGGCCTGGTTTCTTACAAGTGCAGTCTTGTACACAGAGATATTTGTGGGTTAAGAATGTAGGACTACCAGTTTTCAGCGGTGGTTTTTAAATCCTGTAGTTAAAAAAAAAAAAAAGTACTTGAGTGTTTCCCAAACAGAATCTCTCTGTGCTGCTTGTGAGGTGATGTGTACCTCTCCCAAAGGGGCTCAGGCTGACTTTCTACAATCCTGGAATGATGGGAGAGGAGGAAGCCAGGTTACCGAGGGGCCCGCAGGAGGAAGACTATATCCAACCCTCCAAATTTTTACTGCTTGATTATAGTCCCAACTCAGTAACCCCAAAGGTAGGCAACAACTGGGCTCTAGGTTGGTTGTACTAGGGGCAGTTTAACTGATGCCAAGCCTAGCCCCAAGGAGGTGAGAGCCCAGAGTGGGCTGGAGGGGAGAGTGCTGTGCTTCAAAGGGACTCTGTGTGTATGCAGAGGGCCTTGCTAGACAGGGAGAAATTTTTCATTTTAAAATTATCTATTAATTGCTACAGTAGTGAAAATAAGAGAATCTTACAATGTAGGTCTAGTGATAGAAATACTCTGGGCACATTGTGAAGCACATTGGCAGAGAGGATATATTCTATGTATACACATCAAGAAGATCTTAGATCTTATGAGTTCTTACAATCACATGCCAGAAGCATCTTAAGCTGCACTGAAATTAGTTTTTTTTTCACCACTTTGGTTATTAACTTTCAAAAATAATGTCAAGAAATAGAAGAGGGTTATTCACTTGGAGGTCAATTTGTAGTCAACCTACAATAAAAAGTTTAGGTACAAATATATATCTTGAAATGACAAATAAAAATCACACTCATGATCATCCAGGATTTTGCAAGGAGAGTAAAAACATACTCCCTATAGGCAAAGGGATAGGTATTCCACACATTGGGCAAGGCAGTTCAATTGAGGGGCCTTTGTGGAGGGTGACCAGGCAGCACATGCTAGAAATCGCAGAATAACAGAGTCTCTAACCCAATGATTTACTTTTACAAACTTAGACCAAGAGAGTAAGTAATGAGACATGTGAAAATATTAAACTATAAGAATATAGACTATTAGAATTATTTATAATAGCAAAAATTGTAGGAACCACCAAAATGTCAATGGCAGGCAAGCGATTTTGCACAGTCTGTTGTGATGAAACAGCAGGCAGCCATTATAAACCAGGCTGTAGACAAATACTGAACAGCCTGAAAAATGTTTGTGGGATAGTGGCACACTACAAAAGCAGTTCCTAAAAAATGCATTTTCAAGGCTATCATCTCAAAATTGTAGGTATACTTTGCTAAAATATAGGTACACTTACAAATGCCTTATAAAAAGCCTGAATTTATATCAGATTATTAATCAATAGTTCATTTTATTGTTTTAATTTTTTAAACTTCTGAAATATTTTTCAGTAAACCTGTTACTTTGTAATCAGAAAAAAAATCAATTAAAAAATTAAAAGCCAGGAAATGATATCAGGAAGGTGATGAATAAAGAGGCCCTGGCCCTTGCTCTCCTGGCAAAAGCAATAATTTAACAATGAGTCACCAGCAAAAATAGCTCTGGGAGAGCTAGAGACTAAAGTGAAGAAGGTTCAGCAATCCATTAAGGCACAAAACCCAGGATGGCTGCTTAGAAAAGTGTGGGCAGCATTTAAGGTGTGTCACCACATCTCTTAGGCTGACACAAGTAACAAGGGGGAGCCTCTCTGCCATGACCTCTCTCTGTGGAAGAAGCAGTCAGACCCCAGCTGCCTTCCCCACTGTATCTGGCTAGTGGACTCTCTCTGCTTTCTGATCATGGCGTGAGCTGCTTCCATCTGCCCACAGTCTCCAACCATGATGTTCTGCCTTGCCTCAAGCTCCAAGGAGCCAGCCTTCTATGGACAAAGACTTCTGAACCCCTCAAATAAACTTTTCTCCTCTATAGTTGTTCTGGATGGGTCTTTAAGTTGCAGCAGTGAAGGAAGCTGACTTAAACAGAAATTGGTACCAGGAGTGGGGTCCTTGCTGTGCCTAACCTGACCATGTGGTTCAGAAGCTTTTTGAGCGTTTTGGAATTGGTGGAAGGAATTTTGAGCTGTTTAACAGTTCAAGCTAGAAATGCTTTAGGTTGTTGTAAGCAGAGCTTAATGGCCAATTCTGGTGGGACTTCAGAAGACCAGAATGGCAATAGGACTGGGGACAATGAAGATGGGTCTCAAGAGGATTCAGAGGACTACTCTATTGGAATTTGGAGTAGAGGCCATTTGTGTTATGTTCTGGCTGAGAAGCTGTCTTCATTCTGCCCTGTCCAGAGACTTTCTGGGAGACTGATCTTAGAAGTAATGGACTTCTTAATCTGACAGAAAAAATTTCTAGGCAGCATAGCATTCAGGCGGTGGCATGAATATTGCTAGTAGCTTTTAGCCAAATTTATTGTGATAATCAGGGGAAGAAAGCAGAGCAGAAAGATTTGGAAAATGCGGATTTGAAAGGCCAGAGTAAAACTAGGGCTAAGGAAGTTGCAGTTGTTAAAGACTTTACTGTCAATATAGAAATGCTAAAGACTTTTCCTAGAGACAATGAGAAAGATGGCTTGAGGTCATCTCAGGAGCTGGCAAGACCATACTCATCTCAGGCTCCAGGGGGTAAAGGTGAAAATTCTCTGGAGAAGAGTCCAATGGGTCACCGTTCTTGCACAAGTGGGCCTAGGAAGTGTTTTCAACATGCTCAGCCACCCAGACACTCAGAGACTGCTCTAGCCAGGGCCCCTGGAGGCTTGGCTACTGCTCAGATGGCAGCAGACCCTGGAGTCAACCGCATGGTGCTAAATTTACAGGAATGCAGGATGCTGGAGTTACAGGTTCATGGAGGCTTCCAGGAGGGTTTCAAAGGAAGGCCTGGGAGGCCAGGCAAATTGCAGCAGTGCAAGTATCCCCTAGGAAGTCAAAATGTGAGGAGGAAACTGAAGCTCCAGTGGAAACCCCTGAGATTAAGAAATACCAGTAATGTAGGACATCATCCTAGGAAGCTGAAGGAATTGAGCAGAGACAAGCCAACAGAGAGGCCACTTGGGCTGCAACAAACAAGGCCCCAGGGTAGAGCTACACAAACCCTTTGAGAGAACATCATGATGTCATGTGCCCTAGATGCCAGACATGGATCTACAGCACTTGTTTGCCCAGCTGGATTTTGGTCCTATCCCTTCTATGCCCCTAAATTTGTGAATGGAAATGTGTACTCTGTAACATTGTATATTGGATACTTGTAAATTGCTTTTAATTTTGCAGGAGCTCACAATGAGAGATTGCCTTGAGAATTCTTAAAATTCTCAGAAAAAAAAAGAATTTTGACTCAAACTTTGAGCAATCTTGGAAATATTGATTGTGGGGACTCTTGGAAATGGGGAAAAATGTATTTTGCATTGTGAGAGGGTTGTGAGCTTTTGGGGGCCAGGGGCAAATGTTATGGTTTGAATGTGAGGTATCCCCCAAAAGCTCACGTGTCAGACAGAGCACGAAGTTTCAGAGGAGAAATGATTGGGTTATAAGAGTCTTAACCCAATCCGTTATTTAATCCTCTGATAGGGATTAACTGAGTGGTAACTGAAGTGGTAGGGTGTGGCTGGAGGAGGTAGGAATTGGGGTGTGGCTTTGGGTATATGTTTGTATCTGGTGAGTAAACGCTCTCTCTGCTCCCTGATCATGATATGAGCTACTTCCCTCTGCCACACTCTCCCACTATGATGTTCTATCTTGCCTCAAGCCCTGAGAAATGAAGCTGGCCTTCTATGAACTAAAACCTTGAAAACCGTGAGTCCTCAAATAAACTTTCCTCCACTACAGTTGTTCTGATTGGGTCTTTAAGTCCCAGCAGTCAAGAAGCTGAATAAAACACCCACTGAGGCTTCCAAACATTGCCATTATCACAGACACCTGCAGCTTTCATGAATGAGTCTGATCGAGCTGCTCAAAGTCCAAGCCATTGTCCTTACCTGGAGCCAGAGCTGCTACTCCTGTCAGCTGGTACTTACTCCAAGAGCTCTGTAGCAAAATTGCAAGAAATCTAAAGAAATGAGCAAAGGATTTGACTACACATTTTTCAAAGGTATACACATTTTTCAAAGGCCAAGAGATATATTTAAAAAGTGCTCCATATCACTAATCATCAGGGAAATATAAATCAAAAACCAAATGAGAAACCTCTGTTCAGTTGAAATGGCTTATTATCAAAAACACAAAATTAAATAACCAAATAACTAAATAAACAAATAGCCTGTGGTGGCCAGGTTATGAAGAAGGAGGAACTCTTAGAAACCACTGGTGGGAATATAAATTAGAGAAAATAGAAGTTCCTCAAAAAATTAAAATTGAAACTACCATGTGATCTAACAATCCCATTTCTAGGTATATATCCAAAGGGAATAAGTGTGTATCACAAAGAGACATCTTTAGTCCCATGTTCATTTCAGCATCAGTAGCTATGATATAAAAACAATCTAAATTGACATCAATGGACAAATGGATAAAGAAATTATGATATATACATATGCATTATGTGTATAGATGTATATATTTGTACAAAAACAATGGAATGCTAGCCAACATTTAAAAAGAGGGAAATCATGTCATTTTCAACAACATGGATAACTGGAAAGATATTGTGATATGTGAAATTAGATCCACAGAGAAAAAAAAAACAAATACTGCATAATCTCTTTTATATGTGGAAATAAACTCATAGCAGTAAATAATAGAATGGTGGTTATGGAAATGGGGAGATGTCAGTCATGGGGTGCAAAGTTTCAGTTATGCAACATGAGCCAAGAGGGTACATTGTACTCCCAAAGAAAAAATGACAACTATGTAAAGCAATGGATATGTTAATGACCTTTATACTGGTAATTATTTCACAAGGTACATATATCAAGACATGAAATTGCACACAATAATTAAACATACAAAATTTTTATTTGTTAATTAAAAGCAAAGGTGGAAAATTTAAAACACTGTGTGATGTATTATTTATACCAACTGCAAATAGAAGAATTGTGTCAAATCCCATCTATACAAGCAGCTAAATTTTTTAGAAAATACACAGTGAAATATTTTTATTTCACAGAATTGCTTATTCTATTCATTATTAACAGCCCAGTTTTTCACAGAATATACTTATTTGTTTACATTTAATAGTGCATGTGTAGTAACAAAATCTAAATGACAGCAGATATCATGTCTATTTCTCTCAGCTGCTTACATGTGTTAGAAAGGAGCTCACATAAAGCTAACTAGGCCCTGTCTTTCTCCTGCTTATAATGCCCACAAGCATCTGCTGCAGGATAGCTAAAGGGAGAAGGAAGATGTGTCTTCTGGAGTTTACAGCTGGTGGACACACTTAGCACAAAATATATACTATCCCTGATGAGGACATTCAGAAGAGGAATCCAGGCCGTGGGGGACTATGACACTGCAATGCAGTCAGGCAGTTCCAGGGGACCCTGAGGAGGGTTAGGGTGGAGAGACACTGAGAACAGAGGGGAGGAGGACTTTGACACCCAAAGGCATCGAAGGTGAATGACTCCAAAATTAACTGAAAACTGCCCATTCATTAGCCATTAAGGTTAAGAAACAGAACCTGTTCCTCTTTCTCTGGTCACCGTAAGTCTGTACTTATGTTGCAGTGATATTCAGCTTTCAATCCAATGGACAGCACCTATAGAGGGCCCACGAAATGCAGAAGACTAACTGCTATGGCAGACATAAAGATGTGTGAGGATAAAATCCCTGCCCTTGACACTTACAAGCTGGTAAAATGATTAAGCAAAGCCTCACACAACCACATAAATCATATTAAAAAGCCTCAGTATAACTTTCATTTCTCTAAATCTGCCCTAGTTCCTGTCAGAAGTGTGTTTAGGTGCTAAATGCAAGTATTATTTTTGATGCCAACCTTCTCCAAAGGAAATTCAGTAGTTTCAATGAGTTTTCAAAGTATACCTAACCTCTTTCTGACATGAAGAATATTTGTATTCATAATTGATAATTACATAATCTGTCCATTAATTTAATGAATCCAGATATTTTACAACAGTTATGTTCTTGAAAAGATAGTCTATATGAGAAAATATATCTAGGAATGTTAACTAATCATACCCAACCCAACTAAACTAATATTGGAAATATTAATGTTTGTTAGAAAGATCCCCTCTAACAAGAAACTTGTCGTCTACTATCTACTCTGCTTTACTTGCACCTTATACCAGAGTTAAGTGATATATGGAAGTGAGCCCCATCACCACCCCCAGATGCACAATTCAACACCATATTTCTGAGCTAAGTAGAAAAAAATAAACTACAGATGTACCTTCTTTAGTACTCACTTCAAACAATGCGCATTTAGAATTCACATATCACTGAAATCAGTTGGATCTTTGAATACTTGGCTTTCAAACTCCATCTGACTCTGCAAAAAAAAAAAACATACTCAACTTACAGACTTACAGACTCGACTTACACACAAGAACTTCCAAAAAAACAGGTAGAGCAAAACAAAATACTCTGCATGTCTCTCTAATGTTTATAGAGAGAAAGGGTAGCTGGGAGAATGTTTATGTGGTTGTCTTCTTCCATAGACTTCATTAGTACTAACTGTATTACAAGCACAATGCTTGGTTCTTGGTCCACAGAGATGAACAAGACCCTCTGACACAGCTCTCCAAGGGCTTCCAACCTAGTATCAAAGAACGGCCAGAAACTGGGTGGACAGATGAGGGCCAGGAGGACTGAAGCAGGAATCAGTACACATTGAATTCTGGAAGTCCTGGAGGAGGGATCCAGGCACAGTTAGACCATGGAGGGCAGTGGGAGGGAAAGTAGAGGGAAGTGGCGAGACTTCCTGGAGCAGAGGAAGGCAGACCAAGAGCTCTGGACAATGAAGAGATGTGCTTCAGTAAGGTGAAGACCCAAGAGTGTTCACAGGAATTATTAACAGAAGGGCAGAGTGACCCTGGCCACAGCAGATACAGGGATGGATGAGAGGAAACAGAGGGTAATATAGGTCCCAAATCTGGACAATCTTTTCAAGAACCTTGACTGTGAGATGGAGCCTTTAGACAAGAAGTAGAAAAGCTATAGAATTAATTTCTCTGCCCTTTCCCTCCTTCCCTCCCTCCCTCCCTTTCTTCCTTCCTTCCCACTGTCCCTCCATCTTTCCTTTATTTCTTCTCTTTCTTCCTTTATTTATTTCTTCTCTATTTATTATTTATCTCTATTTATTTATTATCCTTCCTTTAGTTTTGTTTTTCAGATGGGACAGTTTAAAATGTTTAAAGTCCTCATGGGAAGGTTTTACTAGAGAGGGAAGAGGTTGTGTCAAGGTAAAGGTAAATGAGGGAGCAAAGGTAAATGATAAAGAGGAGGAGGGAGACAGATCCAGAACTCTCCATCAGGCATTTATGAGATCCATCCATCCACTCATCCATCCATCCATCTATCCATCTGTCCTTCTATCATTTACTGGGCATCTACTATGTGCTGCACACAAGCCACATTTGTGCAGAGATTGGAGGAAGGAAGAGATTGAGCTCTGGTCTGGGGAAAGGATTTCTGGGTAGAGGCAACAGCAAGTACAAAGCATACAGGAAAGAACAGCAAGGTGGCTGGTGTGGCTCAGTGCCATGTGAGAATGGGAGACAGTAGAAGATGTGACAGGGGAGAGAGAGAAAGAGGCCATTGTATCTACTCTCAAACCCACAGGCAGGTCCTGAGCAAGGATAGAGCATGATAGCATTGGCATTATTGAACATACTTGAGCAAAGGAAGTAGGGGGGAAATAATGGAACCAAGAGAGCTAATGATCTGGGCTGAGAGACAGATCATTGTGCCTGATACATGTTGATGTGGGAAGAGGTTGTAATCATGAATTTTGGAGGAGACAGATAGTAAACTGGTTCTCAGGCTTCTCAATGAAAAACCTGGGTGCCTAGGAATGCCACTTAACGATAGGGAAGACTGAGGGAGAGGTGAAGTTTTAGGGAAAATCTGAAATTTGTTGAGGGTATGTCAAGTGGGCAGCTGGAGATATAAACTAAAGCTTCAAAGGATGGGAACATTAATAAATCACATAGCTCTATCTTTTTGTAAACCCCCAATGAATTTCCATCATCTTTAAGACAACAAGATATGGTCCTTCTTTGTATCTGCCACCTGATCTCCAGCCTCATATGCACCAAATTCTCATCCAAGACAGATGTATTTTTATCTTTTACTTACTCTTTCCTTTTTCACCCCCCTCTTTCTTTTATATATTTCTTTTTGTTTAGATTACTTTCCCCCATTTTGACCTGGCTATTTTCTCCTTCAAAACCCAGTTCTGATAAGCCCTCCTATGTCACTGCCCATGTTCCGGTGGTTCCCTACAGCTTTTGCACTCGATGTTGCCACTACCTGGAAGTCCTTTCCCCAGACCAGAGCTCAATCTCTTCCTTCATCCAACCTCTGCATTTATGAGATGGATGGATCTCACAAATGCCTGATACGTACAGTTGATTTAGATACCCCTCTTCTTGCCAATCATCATGTTCTATACATCTCTAAGGACTCCTCTGACACTAGGATACCCAGGCCACTCTGCCAGTTAGTGAATGGACTTTGAAAAGTTGACCAAAATTATCTGAGCCTTAGTTTTCTCATTTGTAAAAAGAGGATAATAGTACTATCTACTTCAGAGAGTTTTAGATGGATTCATTGAGGTGATATGGTACTTGTGACACTGCCTGACACAGATGAAGCACCCTATAAGTCATCAAATATTATTATAATAACACTTATCATGCTGTTATAAAACTATTTTCATATTGTCTTTTTCTCTCAAGGCAATCACGGAGCCTTTCATCTGGCACACATTAAGTCTCATTAATTGTTTTCTAACGTGAGTGAGTAAGTTATGAATGGAAAGCAAAGCACTTGGCTACAATAAGTACTATGAGATGAACTGGCAACTTCTTCTTTAGTGGCCTTTCAGTATTGAGAAGCTATTCTCCCTGGGTGAACATGATTCCTCTGGTCCACTATAAGCAAGAAGTTCTGGATTGCATATCTTATATTACACTTTAGTTACAGTTCAGCCAAAGCAATATTGTTACCTTTGGATCAGGTAGACATGGTCCAAAGGCTTCCAACAGAAGAGTCTCTTCTCTCACAGCTTTTTCATAGTCTGCAAAAGATAGCTTCCCATCATGGTCATAATCCTGAGGGGACAGCAGGAATACAACAGTTAACACTCAACATGCTTACCACAACTGCTTGTTATTTTCATACTCAAACGTTAATGGAAGAAAGGTTCTAGAGAAATAAGGGATTGAGTCAGAGAATTGAAAAAAATTTTGGGGGGTTTGCTGGGGATGGAACCCAGAGCCTTGCACATACTAAGCAAGCCCTCTAAATCTTAGTATCCCTCCAGCTCAAAAGAATTTTGGATATTGTAATAGCACCATTCAAGTGTTTGGTTAACTTAAAAGGAAACTGAAAATTCTCATTATTCAAATTCTTATTTCCATCCCATATGTGACCTGTGCATTTCAATATAAAACTCTAAATTACTCAAAATTATTACCATTTTCTTAAGTGTTATTTCAACCAAATCTTTAATTCCTTCATCTGGGTCTTCCTCTGATGGCTGTTTCAGAAGGCTGTTCTTCAACATGTGGAACATTTCCTCCTTTGAAATGAAGCCGTCCCCATTCAAGTCAAATACTTCAAAGCAATCTTTAAAGAAAGTGTCAAATGATGAATTTGATATTATCACTTAGGTTACATTTTCTCTGGCCAAGTCTTGAGGGCTGAGTTCTATCTTGCTGGTGCTTCATCAACCCTGAAGACCTGGGCATCACCTGGTTTTCATGGTAAATGTTGAATGCATTCAAGAATCCTCAGGAAATTTCTTTACTCTCAGTTATGAAAAACCATATCAAGGAACAATACATTGGAAATTTTTAAATCCTGAAACTCTTGGAATACCAATTAAAAATATGACTTAGAGTTCATCAGATTCAACTATTAAACATTAGAACTTTAGGAAAATCTGCCATGGTTTCCTCTCTAGCACTGAGAGAGTTCTATCTCTGTCTCTATCCTTCAATAAATCCTACTCTTGCACTCAAAAGAAATGAAAAGAAAGAAAGAATCAAACACTTAAATCAATAGTCTCTGCTTTTCTGCTTAAAATTCAAATGATGTTAAGTCCTTAGTACATAAATACATGTGTATATAATTAGCGTGTACAGCAACGCCTACGCAAACTTCCCTGGCATCATAATCACTCTTCAGAATTACTTGATTTTCCTTTTTAGTCATTTTCTTTTATCCCCTGTTGACTCAAATTCATTCCATAAAAGAAGCTAATGAGGATCCAAACCAACCAACCAACAAACTCACCCACCCACTGGCTGGTTGGGGGACAGTGTAAACACTTTGGCTATGTTAATCATAATGTACGAACAGTAGGACAACCTGAATTCTTACATTTCGTTTTTTCATCTAAGGATCCTCGAAGAAACACTGTTAATCCATTAACCCACTCCGATACATTTATACAGCCGTCATTGTCTTTATCAAAAGTTCGGAATACTAAAAAGAGAAAGAGATACTATGTAACAGCTGTGCTGCATTTGAATTCTCAATAATGTATTTATATTGGTATCGCTTGCTTTTATAATTTAGAGAAAATGTCAGGATTTTATAGTCCAGTATTCTCACTTGACAAAGGAGGAAACTGAGATATCAGAACATTGATATGCATTTTAATTATGCAGTTGAATTTTCTCTTCCTATTTTGTGGGAAGAAAGAATATTCTGAATATATAAATACATACACTATTAATTAATAATACAATATTGTGATATATTAAAATGTTAATTATATTAGATAATCTAAACATATTAATATAAAATATACAATTTCATATTTTTTGTTACTCAAGACAAGGAATATTATTACATGATAAGACTGTATTCCATTTTTATTTAGATATAAGAAAATTTAAATGTAGTTTAGAAGCCATTATATTCATTATGTTTACTAAGAAAAAATAGAAATATTCCAAGCTTTTCAATATAAGGGAAATCTAATTACCCAACCTTTGTCATGTTCTTACATATAAAGAGAATATTACATCTTTCTCTAATTATCTTTGGAAAATTAAATGTTTATATTCAAATAAATAGAGAATGTAGAACATTAAGCCTCCTACCAAGATTATGACCGAACTCCAAACTTTTAAATTATTTTTCTGGTGGCTAGAATTGACTGATTTAAATTTTGTATATCTCTTACCTCTGTCCATAATCATGTCATCTGTCATTCCAAATGTTACATGTAGGATGTTCCGAAATGCGTTACGATCTAGTCCAACAACTGCAACTGGTCGCTCTGCTACATCTCCAACCAAGTTATAGAAAAGCTTTATGAGACATGTCACTTCAGATCTATTAACTGTAGAATAATAAAGGTAAAACAAAAGTGTATTTCAATCTTTACATTATAAGCTAAATATTGCAATTGAAGCATATTTATATGCATTAAGACTATGTCATATATATACATAAATACATCAGTATATATATTTACATATATATACTGTATATACATGTATATTTATACTGTATGTATAGTATACTGTATATATTGTGTGTATATGTGTATATATATATATACACACACATACATACACACACACACACACACACACACACACATATATATATATATACACACACACCTGTGTGTGTCCTGATTTGAGATTCATACCTTAAGTTAATGGATGAAGATAGCCAAAGATACATTACTCATTTAAGAAAACTAGCATTTCCTTCAAACAAGAGTCATACATTAAATAGATGCAAATTCAATCATGTTTGGGGGGACAAAGGTAATATTAGCTTAGTAATTTGAATGATGAATGTGGTATCAGATTCCAAATTTTATAAGGTTTGTAGATGTATAATTTAAAATAAGAATGGTAATGTTTAAGAATGTTAATTTTCCCCAGCATTTTGGTAAGCATTTATGAGATTTACAACTTGGCTTTCCCAGAAAATAGACACCGTACTTTGAGAATTAATGGTTTTCATTTTTAATTTCACTTTAACCTTTGTGAATTCATAAGCCATATTTCTGAAATAAGAAACACCTATTTTACAAAAAAGAAGTTTTGAGTATGTTCTAGCACCTAATATGGCTCCCCTTAAGGACAATGTAAAAATTAACATTGAACAATTAGTACTTTTGGAGGGAAGACATTTGTATCTAAAGCATATAAACAAACACAGATATTTGCTGGTACCCATGATTACATAAAGGACAGTGTTTACAAACACTGAATTAATTATGTGTTCCAACTGCCATTTGAAGTATGTAGGTGGAAGGGTTATTGCCTGGCATTAAGAACATAAAAATGAATCTAAATATGAAGTATACAAATACAAAAAATAATTTTTGTTTCAAAACCAGGTAAAATTATGGTTGCATATTTTTAAAAAACAAAGACAAAACCTGTATACATCTGTGAGAAGATAACACATGAAAATGGAAAACATCACACCTCATCCTATAGATCAGGACAGCCTCCAGTGATTGCTGCTTTTGAGAACCACATTTTAAGGGAAAAATTTAAAACTTTAAAAAGATTAAACAAGTTAAGTAGCAGAAAATGTAATGGTTATGATTTTAAAATGAACCCAAAACAACAACAACAACAACAACAACCCAACAACAGTATAATGGTTCCTCAAAAAATTAAGCATGAGGGCTGGGGTTGTGGCTCAGCGGTAGAGCACCTGCCTAGCATGTGTGAGGCACTGGGTTTGATCCTCAGCAATGCATGAAAGAAAGAAAGAAAAAAAGAAAGAAAGAGAGAGAGAGAGA